CACACAACATAAAAATTTAAATTTACATAAAACGAAAATTAAAAAATTGTACAATACAATGAAATTAAATAGATATTAGAAGAACTAAAATAAAAAGAATTGATACAAAAATTAATATAAATATTTCCAATGTTAAAATTCTAGATAAATCATACATCATTTTAAGTACAAAAACAATATACATCTTTTTAAGTACAAAAACAATATGAATATACGGTAAAGATTATGTTTATTTCATAAACTTGAAAAATTTGTAAAACGTTCACATAAAAGAATTAATGATTAAAATTATAGATGAATAACATGAGACAATTCTAAAAGAATAGAAATCAAATGATGATGAATGTTTGAGGCGATTTAATAAAATGATTAAAATGAGGATTGTGAAGTAGAAAATATGATTAGATAGTGAAAAACCTGATGTTTGCTGAAAGATATGAACAATTTCACTTCAAAGAGATGGAAATCAATATATAGTCTTAACATGTTATAAGTGACCAAAGAGAAAGTGAAAAGAGAATAGATCCACGAAGGAGAACAAATGTGTTTTAGAAGATATAAAATGTTAAATGAGATAAACAAGTGTTTTATAGCTCAAATAATATAGGCAAGAGACTATATAAAACTTTCATATTTTTTTTACTATGTAAAATGAATGGTTTTTTTATAAATTACTTTACATATATATATTACTAAACCAGGTTATCGGATTTGAAACCGGCTAAATTTTGTTTGGTCGCACCAGTACGATAGGTTGGATGGGAAAAAACATTTTAAGTTAATTAAAAAAAAATGGGTTTTTAATAAAAAATCTCCTCAACTATCATCAGATCATAAAAAATCCTCTCAACTATTTTTTTCGTTAAAAAACCCTTTAACTATACTTCATTAATGAAATCAACCCTCCGTCTACAATAACGTTTAATCCTAATAAAAACCGTTGTCTTTTGTCACAAAAGCGACAAAACGTCTCAAATATTGCCAAAACATCAAGTTGTTTACATGAAAACAACACAAAGGGAATCTTATGACAAAAAAAACGTGCTCGTAGTTGTACTGTAAATCGTG